TAAATATATAAAATATATGAAAAATTGATGTGGGTACTCAAATGAAAGGTCTTGATGAGTGTAACATCACGATGAGCTTATATCTTTGAAAATGTCTATAGTTCACAAGATAGAAGGTCATTTCTTAATGATGTATCTAGAGATAGAGCATTTTTGAATGCAGCCTAAATGCTTATCATCATAAGTTAACTATTTTATCATATAAATACACTGGCCACAAAATTTTACTTATTCTCTTAAGAATATAGCTTATAATTAATAAAAATATTATTATTTGACAGGCTTCCAAGAAACAAAAATTATTCCTGATGTCGTGGTGTCCTGACACCGCTAAAGTAAAGAAGAAGATGTTGTACTCGAGCTCATTTGACGCCCTTAAGAAATCTCTTGTTGGCGTTCAAAAGTACATACAAGCGACGGACCTCTCGGAAGCATCGGAAGAAGCTGTCGAGGAGAAACTTCGCGCCACTGACAGGAATTAAAGAGTATTCCCGGGGACATCTCCACCAAGCGATTAAATACACAAAGAAAAGAATAAAAAATAAAAATAAAAAATAACAAAAAAAAAAACGTAAACGAGAGAGAGCGTGAGATCGAGCGGGTACGTTTTTATTTCCCCCGAGTAAATGCTCCGTGTTACATCGCATCGGAGGTTCACCTTTTTACACATTTTTCACTTAATAATAATATTGATAATAATAATAATAATAATAATAATATTAAAAAAAAAAACAAAATAAATAAATAAATAAAATAATAAATGAATACCGGCTATTAGATATTGCGGTACATGTAATGTATGATTAGTCATTATGATGAGTCGATGAAGGACTGTAAGTAAACGGGCTTTATACATCAAAAGGATAAAAAATTTCAAGTAATAAAAACAAGTAATGTAATAATTGTACCCCATATTTCTATATTGTGAGCGTTGCGTGAGTTTGTCTGCCGCGATTATTATATAGTGTATCTATTATTAATTGTAATAAGGTAATAACTATTGTAATTGTAAAAGATTCCAACTAATTTACAACAACCACGCAGTGAGAATGGTAAAAACTATTTTTTTTTCTTTTATTTATCTCAGGCTGTATAATGATTAAATTAAATTCATTTCGTATTGACATCCCGTGATATATAGTATATATTTTATAAATTGTGATACCTTTTATTAATGCCAAGAACAAAAAAAAAAAAACAAAATAACATAACAGTGCATTACGCTTCTGTGCGAGACAGTTTATAATATACATACGACTTATATATAAATATATAGACATATATATCGCGTTACAGATGGCTTAAGGGCGTATAATAAAAATTCTATTTTTTTTTCTGTCCAAAAAAAAAATTTTTAGTTTAGAGAAAAATTTTTTTTTTGCATTTCTCCACGTTTCATACAAAAATACGTTGATTCTCAAAAACAAATTTTTTTATACGCCCTTAAGGCTCCTGGGACTCACCTCGGATGCCATAAGGGTCAAAAAAATTTTTTTTTGGGAACCGACATATTTTTTCATAAAATGTGTAGAAATGCAAAAAAAGAAATTTTTTCGAACTAAAAAAAAAGTAGAAGTTTTATTATACGTCCTTGGGGCGTATAAAATTTTTTTATTGAAAAAATGGCTACAAAAAAAAAAGAAAAAAAAATTTCATTTGTAACAAACTTTAAAAACTGCAAGTGCAATTTTTTTAAAAATATTTTGTTCTAATTTAATTATTAAAAAAATTTTTAAAATGTCGGCTAACTTTAGTATCATTTTTTGCACTGATAGAAGGATTTATAGTTAAAAATATTTGTTAATATTTAACTTATTTGAGACCACTTTTTAGTCTTTAACAAATATTTCTTAGTATTTATTTATTTATATTTAATAAATTAATATCAGATTTATTAAATAAAAATCATTTTAAATACTAAGAAATATTTCTTTAATACTAAAAAGTGGTCTCTAATAAATGATTTAACTATTAAAAAATATTTTTTAGTACAAATAAATCCTATTAGTGTGGTGCACACTACGTCAATTCCTGAAAAAAAATTTTTTTATACGCCCTTATGGCATCTGAAACGCGATATATCATAATAAATCTATCTAATTATCACTGTCGTACTCGTACAAACATACAATTGAACGGTGAGTCACCACTTCTCTCGACTTATCGTCTACTGTACAATCGTGCTCGAATAAATAACAATGACAGACTGTTTTAACTAATTGAAATACGGTTATCATTGTCATCATCATCATCATCATCATAATCATCGTCACTACAATCAACAACATTCACGCACAATACAATAGATTTTGCCTTAACATATCTAATATTAATTCATAATAATCAATTAATAATTTTTTTTTCTTTACTGCTAATAATTTACAACAATTGTTCCAAAGATATTGATAATAAAAATACCACGAGGACTATACTGAGCGTTGAATCTCTCGTATTAACTATAGAGGCACTGTTGAGCGTTTCAGACCTCGGAGTTGGTGAATCATTCATTATAACTGCTTAAAAAAATATATTATTTAAGTTAATATTACCGCGCTAGTATAAGTAATTAATCTAGTCTTAGTTATATTATATTAATAAGTAGAGTAAATATTAAATTACCCAATGGTGATCCCTCGTAAGCAGCCTCAACTTTGTAATGATCTTTCCGAGCTGTCAGTGATAATATTAATAATATTAAAAGCCAGAAAATTAATATTTAACGAGGTATAATATTACAATGTGGATCAATTTACTGGACATTTGCTTACCGGCTCCTTCAGTGGCAAACCGTAGGATCTTTGAAGGCTTGCTCCACCCATATCGATTTCTTGATAGTATAAGTGCTTCGTAGTATGTTGCAGGCGTCAGTCCTGTGAGATTAAAGGACTTGCCGTGGAGAGGTCCAATCGCATCGCTTCCACTAGGAATGAATAGCTTGTGCCAGTCACGTCCTCGATCTAGAGTCTATTCAGAAAATTTTTATCAATAAATAATGATAATAGAAACAACAATAGGTACTGAGAAGAAAAGAAATTTTTTTTTTAATTTCTTAAAAATTGATATTTCTTCTCAATTTTTTTTTATGATACTGAAATTAATTGACAATTTTTAGAATTTTTATAATAATTACATTATTGTGAAAAGATTTTAATAAAAAATTTCCATATTTAGAAATTTAAAAAAACTAAAAGTGCAAATTTTTTAAATATGTTTTTTTTGAATAATTTATTTTTAATCAAAATTTTAAAAATTTTCACATGTCTGCAGATTTATTATACTTAAGTTAGCCGAAGTTTTTGACTTTTTCATTTATTAAATTATGACTAAAAAATATTTTTAAAAAATTGCACTTATAGTTTTTAAAGTTTTTCACAAATAAATTTTTTTTTTTTTAATTTTTTCAACAAAAAAAATTCTCAAATTTTTTAGATGTCGGCTAACTTAATTTTCATTTCAAAATAATACTCAAGTTAGCCTACATTTTTGACTTTTTAATTTATTAAATTAAAACTAAAAAATTGCACTTATGGTTTTTCATAAATTAAAGTTTTTTGTAGTAATTTTTTCAATAAAAAAAAATTCTAATAATTTTTAGATCTCGGCTAACTTAATTTTGATTGCAGAATAATACTAAAATTAGCCGACGTTTTTGACTTTTTAATTTATTAAATTAGTACTAAAAATATTTTTAAAAAATTGCACTTAAGGTTTTTAAAGTTTTTCACAAGTTAAATTTTTTTTTAAATTTTTTTAATAAAAAAAAATTCCAAAAATTTTTATATATCAGCTAACTAAATTTTCATTGCAGATTTCAGTATCATTATTATTATCATCACTAAAGTAAAAAACCCGGTTATTGACACTGGCCTAGTTGTTTGACACTTGCAATTTTATTCTAATTAAAAAAATTAAATGTCCTCAAAAAATCAATTTTCTTAAAATTTATAATTCAAAAACTATATTTATTAATTTATTAGAATTGATTTGTTTTTTTTTTTTTAATTAATATAAAATTGCAAGTGTCAATAACTAGACCAGTGTCAATAATTGGGTTTTTTAAAACTTATTACTTTTTAAAACTGAAATAAAAATGTATTTAACATACTGAGTATTTGCGAAACCAAAATTGATACTCAATAATTGGGATATAGCTATCAACTTCCCAAATAAAATTGTATGCATTAGTAGCGATAGGATTGGACTCCTTGAAGACAGCAGCATTGGCAATTCCAGATAATTCAATACTCGTTTCAGAAACTCCCAAATCATTGGTAGCGCGACAAATGTAATAACCGTAGTCGCTAGGTCTGACATTTCTTATCACCAGGCTGTGAACCTGCCCGGCAATGAATTTAACAATCCTTGATGAGTAGGTAACTCTCTCATTTTCAATGAACCAGTCGACCTTGGCATCAGGGTAGGCCGTCACCTTGCAGTCAAGCTGAGCCCGTATTCCAGGGGATGCATGGATCCAGCTCTTCTTGGACTCGATCTCCGGTTTATCTAAGGACAAATTGAACGTTCAACATTTGTTGAGATGCTGTCAGAGATTTGATGTGAAATGTCGGGACGGAAGTGCTTATTTCTCGGTCACAAATAATTCTATTTCCATCAATAGGCAACACTCCATTCAACAGTCTGGTGTATGTAATCAATTGTTGACTCTATAGTCACCATCAATCAACATTGAATACATAAACGACCTGATGACTTGTAATTCAATTGTAATTACGTGTCAGCACACATACAATTTACATTATTGCCCACACATAGTATAGCACAATACGGATACGTGCTTTTATTATTTATAATTAAGAGCAGCTTTTAGCTTCCCACGCTTTTCATCACATTGATAAATCCTGATTAATTACTTATTTGTTGTTAATTTAGTAGTACTACCTGTTTATTAGAGAAAAATCTTTTTGGATTAGTGAATTAGGAAATTAAGCTGGTAGTTAATTAAATAGCTGGTGTAAATAGTTTGGATATATGTCTAAAATATTAAACTAAATTTATCTAACATGAAGTAAGTAATTAATTATGTAATACACAATTACGGAATAGGTAAACACTATATATTTGATTAATTTATCTAATTAATTGATTAACAGCTAGCAATCTTGCAGTCATTATGTGACTGCCTTGATTTGTGAACTATAAATAAATAAAATTTAGCTTTATTAAATAATGACGATTTCTTAAATATTGACGTCTTTGAAGATATAAGCTCATCTTGATGTTACACTCATCAAGAGCTTTCATTTGAGTACCCATATGCATTTTTGATATATTTTTCATAAATCCATATATATAATATATATAAATATATAAAATATATGAAAAATTGATGTGGGTACTCAAATGAAAGGTCTTAATGAATGTAACATCGAGATGAGCTTATATCTTTGAAAATGTCAACGGTGCAAAAGATATAATGTCATTTCTTTATTATTGATATTTTTAAAGATGTAAGCTCATCCCGATGTTACACTCATCAAGAGCTTTCATTTGAGTACCTACATGCATTTTTATATATTTTTCATATATCCATATATATAAATATATAAAATATATGAAAAATTGATGTGGGTACTCAAATGAAAAGTCTTAATGAATGTACCATCAAGATGAGCTTATATCTTTAAAAATGCATATATACATATATATATATAATTATATAAAATATATGAAAAATTGATGTGGGTACTCAAATGAAAAGTCTTAATGAATGTACCATCAAGATGAGCTTATATCTTTAAAAATGTCAACGGTGCACAAGATATAAGGTCATTTCTTTGTTATTGATATTTTTAAAGATATAAGCTCATCCCGATGTTACACTCATCAAGAGCTTTCATTTGGGTACCCACTTACATTTTTGATATATTTTATACATATACATATATATATAATATATATAAATATATGAAAAATTGATGTGGGTACTCAAATGAAAGGTCTTGATGAGTGTAACACCAGAATGAGCTTATATCTTTAAAAATGTCAATAGTTCACAAGATACAAGGTCGTTTCTTAATTATGTTAAATTGCACTGTACTTTCTTAATTATTCACATTTTTAAAGATATAAGCTCATCCTTACTATGTAAGATTAAATTAGGAAGTAAAGGTCTTCTTACAGCGTATGCGTAGGTCTATATTGGCCATTGCCGGTTCGCCAATTCCATTATCAGCAACACAGGTATATCGACCAGACAGAGTGCGATTGTCAGCGCGAAACCTAAGCTTTGATCTCTCATCCAGTAATTTCATCTCTTCATCCTGTATACTCGACAAGAGCCACCAAGAGAGTCGTTCATTAAACACTTGAGCCATAAATTACACCAGACAAAATTTACCTTCATTCTCCAGGAAATGCTTGGATAGGGTACTCCTTTAGCAATACAAGCCATTTCTACTTCGTCGCCAAAGTTTACTTCAAGTTCTCCAGCTTCAGGCACTGAATGAATGCTCGGCGGATCTGTTTATACAAAACACAACTAAGTTATTAATTAAAGTACAACTAAATAAATATTATGATACATGAAGTAATAACAATCTCCATTGTTTTAATTGTAATTTTTTTGAACGATATTTTTATTTGTTTTTATTGATATATTGATATTTTCTTTTAATACATAAAAAAATTTATAAATTTTTTAGAAAATAGTGATATTTAATTTTTTTTCTTTTTATGTATTTACTTATCAAAAAAAAAAAAAAAAATATATCAAAGACAAAAAATAGAAATTTTATCCAAAAACATGAGAGTCAAAATTTTTTCCAACTTTTTAAGGCAAAACATTTTTTATCATAAATGCGATGACATTAAAGTTAGCAGTCACTTGACCTTTTTTTAATTTTTTTTTATCAAACAAATTTCTTCCAAAAGATTAAAAAAAAAATTGCATTTTTAATTTTTTAAAATTTCTTCATGTCAAAATTTTTTGCAATAATTTATTTGTTAAAAAAATGATTTAATATCTGCTAAATTAATTTTTAAATAAATGCTTTGTAAAAATAAGCAGAACCAAAAAAGAAATTTGAAAATTTCAATTTTTTATCTAATTATGGCCAAAAATAAATTGACCCCACTTGTAAATAATTACCTTTTTTTTTTTTTTATTTTCTTCTCGCGGGGGAACAATTTCAAAATTGAAGTAATTTTTATTTCATTTCTATAATAGCGACAAAGAACAATATATAGAATATTAGAGTCAGATAGTACTAAGGTCTCACGACTCTCTGAGGACCGGGCTCAGAAGAATCAGTGCGTAAGATCCGGTACCTTATCTCAAGTTTCTTGTACCATAATACTCGCGTGGGAAATCTGACAACTGGTTTTACACATTCATACATAATACATAACACTTGTACCTACTAGTAGGTATCTATTGAATTTTTTTTTATTATTTTATTTCTTCTCAGAGAAATAGAAAAATAGAAAAGGAAGACTATTGGTATCGATATTCTACACTTACACAGAACTTCAATAGTTTGTACTTGTGTAACGTGGCCCCAAGGTGCCGGTCTTGAAGCTTGACAAACATATTTTCCAGAATCCTGTGGCTGCACTTGTGACACCTCCAAGCTCATATTGTCCCACATTTTTATGCGAGGGAGATGTATTAAATTTGGATCACTGCTGTCTGCTAGCAGCGTGTCTTCTCGCCACCATCGCACTATTGTTTGAACACCTGAAAAAAAAATTTTTTATTACTTTTTCTGACAATTTTTATTTTATAATTTTTCTTCAGAAGAATTTTAAATTCTGAATAATATTTTACACTCTATTGGCATTGCAAGATTTTTTTTTATTTAAATTTATAAAATGTAAATTATTCTTGAAAAGTTTAATATAAGAATTTTTTGGGATAATCGATTTTAAAAGTTTAAATTGAAAAGAAGATTCAGATATTAAATCTGTTTTTTTAAATTATACAAAATTTAGTGATGTAATTTTTAATATTTCTTCTTTCAAAAATAATAATAAAGTTTGAATTTACTTACTAAACTATTTTTTTAATAATAATTTTTTTTTGTCAAAAATGTAACGTGAACTTTCAAAGAAATTTGCATATTAAAGTACTGATGCTACTTCTACATCTTCAATGCAAATTTCATCAGCGCAGTATTATCTTTATTTTCGCAGAAATTAAAAGAATATCAAACAAAATTTTTTTTTTTCTTAATTAAAAGGTTATACACACATTTTTTTTCTTCTTTAAAGTAATTATTTTTAATCACTTTTTTAGGTCAGACTTTGATGAAAAAAATTTAATAAATAATAATTTCTTAGTCAGAAATAAACTTTGATAAAAAATTAAACTAAAAAGTTAAAAACAATTTTAATAATAATAATAATTAATACAAAAATTTATTTTATTAAAAAAGTATCGAGTACTTGATATTTATTTTTATAAATATTTTATTGACAAATATTGGTAAAAGTAAAGTCTTTATAAAAATATATTAAAAAGCACTCCACGCTTTTTTTTTATAATAAAAACATTTTTTTATTAATTACTCTATTTTTATATTAAAATTAATTTTAGAAGAAATTTGATCATTTTTATGACTTTTCTTGTTGAAAAAATTATTTTAAAAAAATCCTTAGAAAAATTTCACTGGTAGAAGATTTGAAAAACTTAAAGTGCAATTTTTTAAAAATATTTCCTTATGGTAAACTTAAAATCGCTGATCCTGACGCTCCTAATCAGGATAGTAGGTCAAACTTATTAAATAATTGTATTATCATCGTTCCTTAATAAGTGTGAAAAGTTTCAATAGAATAAAAGTTTTTAAAGTGAGTGAAAATTGCAGTCACTTGACTCGAAAAACTGACTAAAATAACGAACCAAAAATTATTAGAAAAAAACAAAATAAAAATTTTTTTTAACGCTTTTAAATATTTTTCACACTTCTTATAGAGAATTAAAATTGTTAATTTTTTTTTTAAACAAATGAATTTAGAAGATATCTGACAATTTTTATGATTTTTCTCATTGAAAAAATTATTTTAAAAAAATCAGAGAAATTTCACTTATAGAAGATTTGAAAAATTTTAAGTGCAATTTTTTAAAAATATTTTCTTAGTTTTAATTTAATTAAAGAAAAAAATTGTTCATTGACTGCTTAATTTAGTATCACATTTTTATTTTAAATTTCTTGAAAATTATTTTCTACTTTTTAATTTGATTTTTTACTGAACCATGTTTTTTTTTTTTTTAAGCTATAATTTTTTAAGTTTGTATCAAAGGTTTTGAAATAAATAAAAATTACATTCGAATAGTCAAAAAATGAACTAAAAATTATTAAAAAAAAAAATAACATTTTTTTTCAATACTTTTAAATATTTTCTTATGGAGAATTAAAATTGTCAATTTTTTTAAACAGCTAATGAAAGTGTGTTATAAAAAAAAAGATGAAAATTCATTACTCAGCACAGCGATATTGTATCAAGTGACATTTGATGACTCTTTAAATTTCCAATTTTTTATTCATGCAATTACTTAAAACCCGACTAAGAAAGAAAGTATTACTAACAGATAAGAAAGTTTGTTTTAGGGAGAATTCGATGAGGACGCCGGTGAGTCTAATTCCATTGGACCTGTTCTCCATTCATGGAAAAGCGATTTTGTTGAATTAAGGATGAAATGCAAATGGATCTGTCTGATGGTTTATGTGTGTAGAGATATATATATACATAAAGCACACCAGAGCAACAACGAGATCAAGAAAAGTGAGATAAGAGTGAAGAGCGAGGTGTGGTGGATAGTATTTGGATGGAAGCTAGATGAGAGCTAGAGGATACTCAACCGCAAAAAAAGTTTATATTTTCCTCTGGGAATTCGCTGAAGAAGTAGTGGCTCGGGTATATACAAATTGCTTTTCCACTTACCGAGGCTTTCTACGTGGCAGGGTAATATCACCGTGTTATTTTGAAATGTCTTGACTGCCGTCTGGGCACTGTTGGAGCTTTTGCAGGATAAGATCCAAATACCTGGAGACATTAAACAAAAAAAAATCCATTTAAATGACAAAGCAGGTATCTCCAGTGATTTTGTGTCAATGCTTATCTTTTATCTCGCTATTTTTTTACTCGGGGCCAGCTTTTTTTTAACCGCAAAAAGCTAGACGATAAATCCGGCAAAGTAAGCGCGAGACCTTCTGGCTTTCCTCATGAGGGAAACCAAAAGCTCTTACTCAGAATTAAGCGCTTCAATTACAGAGTGTTACCGAATGAAAGCACCGGGTATCTGTGACCGGTCAATTATTCTAGACGCTTTTTATCTAACTACCAAAGAGATTGAGAACCATCCCAAATTTGAGAGTAATCAAAAAAATCTCATTAACTTACTAAATAAACAAATATATTTTTTAATTTTTTGTTTAGCAAATAGGACTCTTTTTTTTCTTTTCAATTATTTTTTAACTTTAAATTTATGACAATTATTATTTAAATTTTTATTTTTTTCGTCCAGATTTGCTTGAAAATTTTCCAAAAAAAATTAATTAATAATTATGAAAAATAAAAATTCATTTTTAATCCAATGTGACAAAAAAACTAATGTAAAAATTCAATTACATAAAAACAATTTAAAAAGTGTCTAAAGTATTATTTATTAATCAATTATTGTTTAAATTTTTATTTTTTTTCGTCCAAAATTTGCTTGAAATTTTTTTCCAAAAAAATTGATTAATAATTATTAAAATTAAAAATTCATTTTTTAACCTGTGACAAATTAAAAGCTAAAGTAAAAAATCAATTACATAAAAACAATTTAAAAAGTGTCTAAAGTATTTGTTGCACAGAAAAAAAAATTTACTTGAATCAAGAAAATAAATTTGAAGAACTTTATCTTCTTAATTCAAATAAAAAAAATTCTTAAAGAAATTTTTCTTCAAGTAATTCTACTTAATTCAAGACAATAAAACTCTTCAAAATTATTTATACTTTTCTTCTTGAGTCAAGTTAATTTTTCTTTTTTTTTTAGTAATCATTAAAGAGATTTTATTTTACAGCGCACTTGGTAATAAAATAATATAATTAACAAAGTCACACAAAAGTGAAATTCTTTACCCAGATTAAATAACTCAGTAAGTAATTCTAATTACAATTATTTTGAATGAGAAATGTATATACCACAATTAAAATTTGTAATTATGACCATTAAACAAAATGCAAATAGTTGAATTCTGAGCGATGAAACTCATCTATAATGATAATGTGTTTATTTTTTAAATTATTGATAAATTTATCCTTGAATATCTAATGATGCGCTTTTCATGAATAATAATCATAATTATAATACAGGTAATGAAAATTTAATTGATATAAAGTACACTGGAGCTAAAGTACGGGAAATAGTATAAATACATAAAGACTTCTATATAAATGTAATATTCTTCCCGACTTTATGAAGATAACTTTGAGAATTGATTAACTGCATTTAAATTATTAATTATAATTGAAGTTTCGATGCTATTATAACTACTTAGTACGTGAAAAAAATTTTTTTTTTTTTTTTTTAATAATGAAGAAGATAATTATTGACGGATAAAATTAAAATGTTATTAGCTTAATTAAATTGTTATGAGATTTTCGAGTGCTTGAGTCGAAGAGAAGTTTAAATGAAATTTCCCTAGAGTATTAAAGATAATAGAGAAATGCGTTAATCATCAGTTAATTGGTAGAGCACTTGAGTGTATATTCTAGCTCTTGCAAAAAAAGTAACAAAGTATTTTCTCTCTAGTTTTTTTAGAATTAATTTAATTAGAAAAAATATCTAGTGTTTTCACTTAAATAAATATCAACTTAATTGACTGTTAAATAAAAAAAAAACAGAACAGAACTCAAAAACACTCCACTAAAATTCGATACCACAATTAAAAAAACTCTTACCGACAACCGTGACACAAATAAACCAACGTTGAACCATTTTAGCACAAAATTACTAATTACATTAAAATAAAATATTTACACGGCGATAATAATTAGAGTATAAAATTGTAAAAAAAAAAAAATAGAAATTAATTAAAATGTAATAAGAGGCAGAATTAATTTTAAAAAATATTTTATGCTGAATGGCGAGGGTGAAAAGTTCAAGGGCAAATTGTCGAGTGCGCGAAGCGTGCGCGTTTTAAAGATGAACTGATGCGGATGTGACGGCTCCTCGACTTGTTACTCCCCCGGGTGCTTCTTACTTTCTAATGCGAGTATTCCTACATATAATACAGTCATTCACATTCGTTTCATCTGGGATATGTAATTACGAGTAGTTGTCCACTGCGCAACCAGTGGAGCTCTCCATCAATTGACTGTCATCGCCGACATCATCTCCAAAAAAAAATATCACTAGGATTTTATTGAAACTCCTGGTTTTAACGTGGTAACAATATTACCCGTGATTAATGAATTTATGATGAATATTTAAACGGTATAATTGAAATTGAAAGCGGAATTCCAAATTGACATTATATGGAGACGAGTGAGAGCCTCTGGAGACGCGGTTTAAATGGACGTGTATATAGGGGCGTGCGGGGTCTTCGACAAGCATCATAAATCCAACACCGTCCAAGGCATTCTTCTGTAATTTGTTCAATTTACGCACCGACACGATCTCCTATAGAGTCATTCATCGAGTTATCCATTCAGCTGTTAATTTAATCTTGGACTTTACTGCACGGTTATATATGACTTACTCCTTTTCTACTCATCTTAACTTTAGATTCTTCGTGTGTTGTTGATCTACTTATTTTGTTAATCTAATTTATTTTATCAAATTACTTTACGATCTTTATTCATTTATCTTCATTATAGTTTGCTCAGTTTGTAGTTTAATGAGATTGTTTTTCATTTTTGCAAACACACACTGATAGAAGGATTTTTTTGTATTTAAAAAGATTTGTTAATATTTAATAAATGATTTATTAGAGGATAGGTCCTTAACAAATATTTATTAACAGTTAATAAATCATTTATTAGCAGCTATTTTTTTGTGCTAACCAAATATTTATTACTATTTAATAAACGATTTATTAACATATAAAAAATGATTTATTAATATTTAATAAATCATTTATTAGTATTTAATACACACTGGATTATGAATATTTAAAAAATTCCTCAAAAAGGTGTTTCAATGCCCCGAGAAAAAATATTTATATATAATTATATATATTTATATATAAATTGGCTATATATGATTATATATGAAAAATGGCCAAATATATTCATATATAATTATATATAACTATATATATAATTATATATAACAATGTTTAATTATATATTTATCACATCTAATTAATTATTGGGTTAATTTTATGGATAGAGTATTTAATATGGTCCTACGCAATTCTCTAAAAATAATTAAAATGCAAAAAAAAATGTCAGTCTATAATTTTACTGCTATAACACCAGCGGTCACCCATCCAACTACTAACCCTACTCAATGCGGCTCAACTTTGGTGATCTCCGTGCGTCTTGAAGTTTCTGTCTGCTATGCTGCTATTTTAAAAAATGATCGCATGATATGTAAAAAATATAAACTACAATTACTAAATTTTCTATATAAGCAACGCCAATATTTACAAAGTACAAATGGTAAATTTTAAAAGCAAACTATAATTATTGATTTGCTTGGAATGGTAAAATATATATTTTAAGAGTAGAATTTTTACTGTCTCAAATGTTAAATTCTTCGAGTGTGAGACCTTCCCCTTCTCCTTATAGTATAGATTATATATTGAAACGGCAATTTTTTTTAATGTTTAAAACTGTAATTTTTTAAAATGAGAGAGTCGTTATTAACTATTATGACAGCTACTAATCACTTTTCGATATTAAATTATAAATTGTGGCTTTTACACTTTCTACATTAAGTTTTGTAATATTTACATTTTTTCCACCCCAATGTCCACTGTACTGTTTGAAACTATAAAAATTAATCGGAATCCGAGTGAATTTTACAGTTTACTTTTTTCCTTGTACTACCTTTTTAATTTTGTTTCATATTAAGTTATATTTATATTATATAACTATTACTTCGATTGACATAAATAAAGTTTATGTTATCTAGAATAAGTCTTTGCACTTTAACCTATGCACAATTTATTTTTCACCCCTATAAGTACATACATCATGTATTATTTATAAGTGTTTACACCTTTGTATCTCTTATGAATAAACAAACAAATAAGTTAATAAATTTTACATAAAAAATTCTAGTCTTTTGATACATATTTTAACTAAAAAGCGAAAATATTGAACTTACCTAAATTTAGCAAGCTGACATTAAAATTACTTGTACAACTCGACACTGTAAACTTGTAGCAAGCTTTTAGCTAATTAAAAATAATAAATTATGTTAAATTTATGGGAGATTAAATCGACTTAGTGACTTAGCATAGGCGAGAATACAATTGACTTTAGTATGGTTGGTAATTGACTTGTAATCTTCAGTATAAAAATACATATCTATTTACTTTAAAGTATTAATCTTGTCTGCCAAGAATATTCCGGTCATTTTTTAAAGCGAAATAAATTTCTAGTTTAATACATTGTTCCATTAAACAACTGGAAGAAAAATATCTGCAGTAAGAATGCTTTCCATATATTCTTCATAAATCAAAATAAAGTGTAAAATTTCCAGAAATGACACGGTATTAAAAAACATTGCTTGTACCCTACATTTCAAGAGTATAATTTAATACCATTGTAATTTAAATGTCATTAATATTCCATCCTCAAAATTATTCATAAAAAAAAATTCGATCTAACCCGCGCGATTATCAGGTCAATGCAATTCAAAAAAACTAATTTAAAATATTAAAAAAAAAAATGCAAATCCATTAAAAAGTATTCAAAATTATTCATAAAAAAAAATTCGATCTAACCCGCGCGATTATCAGGTCAATGCAATTCAAAAAAACTAATTTAAAATATTAAAAAAAAAAATGCAAATCCATTAAAAAGTATTCAAAATTATTTATCTGTACATTCGTAGATAAATGGAGAATTAGATTGGCTTGATAATACTTTTGGCGACCCAAATTGAAATTTTTCCATGTGCATAATTTTGCGATAGTTATCAATAACTGTATGATGGTATCAGCGTGTCCCAAACAACAAACAACTGACTGAACAATTTTAAAAAACTTCCAAAATAGCTTTTTGATAAAATCTATTTCTTCATCAATAAGCAGAAATGTAAAAAGTTGGGCACTGACAGTGAAATATTAATATAAATAGCACTGTATGCAATTCCAAGATAGACAATAGAAGAAATATGAGTAACACTTGTTGTTCCTTGTGCCTATTGTCAGACAAAGCTTGATATAACCACTGACGAGTTAGTTACCTGGTTGAGCTGTAGTCTATATCAGTCTTCCAGAAAATTGGACAGAGCGATGAATATTCCCGACAAATCGCTTCATCGGACAGCTTCATTCACTTTTTAGTGATCCGTATACCTGTATAGACGAAACGAATATTGAGCTTTTGTCAAATCGATCTATCTTTTGTGTCACTCCGTGCATAACATGCTAGTGTAGCATCATCACACAATCATCTAAAGCTATCAATCCTCTCATATTTACAATTCTTTTCACTAAAATTCTATACATAAATAATATTCTATTGACTGAAAATATTTAATTTCACCTGACATTTAACTGCTCACCGGTTTATTATCTTTAATCTATTTAATAACTTCCTTTATCCTTTCAAGAGGAATTTGTCCGTATATATATATAATACGTCCATGAATAATCGATAAAATACCATCAATTATATTGATGCCCGTGTGTCAACCCAATTCTCAACGACACACATACACACAGAGACAATAAATTGTGAATTATTCCAAGCACGCAGGGTTGATTTCAACGCTCAGCTCGTTAGCAATTTTCGAAACCAGCTACCGTTCTACTGAGCTTTTATTTATATTTATATATGTATATACTAGAGCAGAGAGCCTGTTGTCTTTTTCCCCGAGCTATTTTCCTAGATTCCCCGGTACAGCTTCAGCATATTTTTAATTACGGCATATCCTCGATCGTAAACACAAAAAAATCCATTAACACAGTTTGTAAATTACCAATCGACAATCAACTCTGGTAAAGATTTACCTATACACAGAAAAAAACCTGATTATTCTTTATATATTTATAGACCTATACAATGAAATAATAAATTGTGAGAGTTAATAAATGGAATAATGAGCACTTTACCTTAATACGGTATAGAAAAGTCCAGATAATAATAAAGTATTTGTTTAGAGTACACGGAAAACAGTAAACTGTAAAATTTACTCGGATTCCGGTTAATTTTTATAGTTTTAAACAGTACAGCGGACATCGGAGTGGCACAAATGTAAATATTACAGAAGTTAATGTAGAAAGTGTAAAAGCCACAATTTATAATTTAATATAAATCTATGTTTATCAATGATTTAGCATCTGTTTTAACCTCACTGAGGAATTAAAATTAAATTACACATAAATAAAACCTCGGACATTATGTACATTATGTAAATTTTGTGATCTATGTAAATTATACAATTTATAAGTAGTAGTCATATTGTAATAATTACTCTATGGATGTTATAGTAACTATATACCTTGGCCTTGGGCAATTTCACCATTCTAAGTAAACTTTTGTTAATTATGTTAATTATATTTTATCTGTTGCCAATATAATTGTATTAAGTGGCCCTGTCAATGGCATTTGCTGTTGGGCCTATGTCTGAATAAATAAAAATAAAAATAAAAAATAAAAATATCGAAAATGTGATTAGTAGCTGTCACTATAGTAAATAACGACACTTTCATCTTAAAAAAATTACAGTTTCAAAAAGGAAAAATTGTTGTTTTAATATATAGTCTATACTAGTCCAAACAAATCAATGATAATAGTTAAATTTTTAGAGTTATGTTT